GCATTTAGAGTTCAAGAATAGGCACTGTGGGCTGACTAAATCCACACTTCTGGAGAGCACCAGTGATTGGAGGTCTAGACAGAGGTGCTACAGACCTAATAGAGCAAGAAGGATGAGGAAAGGTGCTCCTAAGCACACTCGTGATTCACTGTAGTTTAGCAACTGGTAATCAGCATGCAGCACACTGGCACCCATGACAATCCAAGGGTAGAAAAGGAAAACCTTGATTTGCACTAGTCCATGTCTAGAGTAAACTCAGGGGCAACTCGTGCTCTCCTGAAGCTTTGGAGTGGCAAAGCTGGCCTGTTGACTGAGGCAAAGAACAAAACCCCAGCAGAAAAGAGCAAAGCCACTTGCACCACAACTGAAACCTTTTAGAAGCCCTATGGCAACGTCTCAGCCTTATCCACCAAGTTTTGCCTCTGCTTTATCAGAAGAGCAAGATCAGATCTCAGATGTGGCATACAGTTGAGGATGAGAAGAAAACAGAGAGTAAATGCAAAGCGACTGATGTCTTTTACCAGTTTTCTGCTCAGTACGGCACAACTCCAAACACTGTCCTTTGAAGGCAGAAAAACAAAACCGAAAAATAATAAAAGAAAAATGTAACTAAGAGGCCTTGATTAAATGCTGCTGGTACCTCTAAAATATGCAGAAATAATTCTGTGGACTTTACCGCAGTCAGATTTCAGCTTGGAGCTCTGATTTTCATTTACAAAATGCCTACTTTCAAAACATTTTTATCTAGTCTGAAGTTCTTTCTAATCTTTAGGCAAAGGGTTCCTTCTGCAAATGAGTTGAGGTGTGTAGTAGCAGTACCCTACAGATGTAAAGCCTAATTGCCTCAGCATTATAATAGCATTGGTACATAGTGAATGCAGAGTTTCAGGGAGAATACATGTGGCAAGTTAATAAAATTTTAGATGAAGGCTACAGTGCAGGAGTAATATTTCGCCTAGCCAGAGGATGAAAAGTTATGCATTGCTATTTAAAAAATATAATTGGAATGTTAAATCTATTTCATGAATGAAAGTACATTGACCTTTAGAGGGAGGAATGACTCATTTTCATCCCTGTATGCCCCTTCTTAACATATGCTTCCCACCTTTGCATATGTAAGTAGCAATTAGTTCTCATGGGAAGTTATTTTATGGCCATTTCAGCTTATTAAACTTCCTAGGTAAACTGACAAGAAACCCAAGAAACCTATTAAGCAACATCTGTGGGTCAGGTGCCCTATAGTGAGTGAACTGGTTACCTTTAGCACTAACATGAAAAAAACCCCAAACGCCAATGCAGGATTTGGGTGGAAGGGTTCTGGATCACTGTGGAGCCCACGTGAGTACAGAGCACTCACTCTGGACTAACCTAAACCCCAGCCTACCCACACTGTATTATCTGCAGGATGGATTTGCCAACAAGGCCCCAACAAGACTTCTGCACAAGACATGTATCCTATCTGATTGTGTAATTTTAGCCCAGCAGCAGAGGATTACTTGTGCAAGGGGTGATCAGTGCTAGTGCTCAGTCACTTCTTTAGTTGCCGGTACTCTGTACAAATGTTAGGATTTTTCTCCCAAGGAAGCTCAATAACCTCTCCAGAGTACCTGCTACAGAGACCCACTGTAGTTCAACACCATATAGCAAATCCTGTAATACCAGAATTAAATCTGATCTGGAATCCCCTGACAGTAATGTTCACACTACCTGTTTAATTCCCCATGGTAATGTACTGGTTTTGATTAAATTCTTTTGAGAACAGTTTCCTTGGAGGTAGGGTGGAATTCCCAGTCAAAACTAAAGCCATTGAGAACAGATCCAACAGCAACCTAGCAGTTGAGTTTCACCTAAACTATGAGAGATCTGCAACACTATGTTCCTGTCCAAGCTCACCTCTCCCTTCCTCTGCATTTTTTGTTGTGTGTTTTTCACAGAAATGAATGAAATTAATTTTTTTTTTTTTTGTCCCAGAGAAGCACTGGGGGAAAGATAAGAAGACAATATTCATTCCAAAAGCCTTTCCAAGAGGGGAAAACTCTCTTGTACCAAATTTTGAGAAGATCAAGCTGACACAAAAATGGTAGATGGGCTGAGGACCACAGTTTCTCTAAATGGAAGCATTTTCTTGCAGGAGGATATGTTCCCACAGGCATGAGTGTGAGAGAAATCTGGCATCAAGAGTATTTGCAGGAAAGCCCTATAGAAATTCCTGTGAACTTTATGGTTTGTCTGTAAAACAGCAGCAACCCATAAGTAGATCCTTTACTAGTTGTTCAGTAACAGACTGAGATAAAGTGCTTTATGCTTTGTGCAAACATGTTGCTAAAAAGGGAAAAGGTTCACTCCAGTTAAATTTATCTTTAAGCCAGCATCTGAGAGTATAACAGTTAAAGGCAATAAAGCATTATTTACAGGACACTGTTGTCAACCCTAAGGTCAATGGGAATTCATCCCCTTGCAATCTTTTTCTTATCCTAAAATATAATTCATTTGCCACTCATGTGGAGGATAATTTGGCAAAAATAATTTAGCAAGGTACTTATACATTTTCCTGGGAAGTACTGCAATCGTTGGCACCTCCAGCAGAAGAGACGAGAAAAAAAAGCCAAGTATGCCAACATAAGTGAAGCAGCTTTACATTGTTGATGAAAGGATTGTGTTGTTTGAAATCCATTTCCAATTAGCTTAACCAATGAAGGAAAGGCTAGGTTGCCTTAGGAAGGGCTTTAGTTAAGCCCTGTACACATTAGCTGCAATGGTGTCAATAATTGCTGGAATCTGCACTTAGGGGCTGGTGGATGCTGTTCATGCTGTTACCACTGTGTCAGCACATCCTGCTGTTGGCAGAGCTACACAGCACAAATTTAAGCCCAGCAGTGACACATGGTGTTCACACAGGCAGCACCTTAGCCAAGCAGTAAGAATGGATTTCTAATGTTGTTAAACAAACCCGCGTTACAAAAGCAGCGCAAAGCCACGTAACAGTGTGACTACACTAAGGTGTTACTGCTGAAAAAGCAGAGTTGCAATTTTATAGCGACACAATTTAAGCAACCTTGGTGTAGAATTCAGGAAGAGACCGGGATTTTTACAGATTATGAACAGCTGCCAGGAGAAGTTATCACTTTGATATCAATAAATGAGGTCCATATTCCTTCCCTCTGCTCCTCCTTTCCCTGCATCCCCTGTGATTGATTTTGTATGACTGTATTGCAGTAAGAACAGCAGAGCTTTGTCTCCAACACGATTTTACAGGAGCATAGCTTTCTACTGATCTGGAAAAACATGCATTTCTTCTCAACAGACACAGTAAAAGCCTGTGAGTTTTACTAGCTTTGGTTAAAGCTCCATCTGCACTGTATTCACAAGATCAGAGCAACTGTTAGTTCACATGTATACCCTTCACTCAGGTTAAAAACACACCTTCATACTTTAAGACAAATGCATGTCCTCCAGCTCCCTCATTGCTACAAGTACCTGAGTCAAGATGGCATTCAAAACTAAGGCCAAAGAAGGAGATCTGTAAATCAAAACAAGTGCTAATCACAATAAATTCCCCAAACAGAAAAAAAAGGAGACAGTAGGTTTTGATGTCTTTAATTTTTAATTATTCTTATTTTACGGCAATGGAGCAAGGCAAGACCTGCTAAAAGGTAGGGTGTGTTGGCCTCACCTAGCCACCTTGTGGTAGAGAGTAACACCTCTGTGTTATCCCTGCCAGATCGGACACGGGAAGAGCAAACCTGGGTACCTCACTTCAGCCACAGCTGTAGGACTGACTCACACCCAGCCTGCTCCGACAGTCTGCTTTGATTTTTGTTTCAGGCAGCAAGGAATGAGATGGGTTCCATTTGTAGTTCTTCAGGTGGCTATCCCGTCTTTTCAGATGAGCATCAAAAAATCAGTTGCGCCAACTCTGTCTTCAGAGCCCAGCACTGACTTCTCTCGTCTCTTGTGAATTTACTGAAGTATACTCCGTCACCCATTAAGTAGGTGGCTACTCAGGGACACACCATTGACTTCTACACAGCTTCATAAAAGCTACCTAACTTAACTCACTGTGACAAATTATTTAGCCCTGCAGTCCTCTAGGTATTAGTAGGAGAGGCTGGATCACAGCTTGTGTTAAAGGTACAATGTACACACAGAATGGAAATTTCTCTTGATCACCGGCCCAAAGCAGAGCCCTGATTTGAGGTAAAGGAGCTGCCCTATACCCTGACTGCAATCACTGCCAAGCAGAACCAAAATCCTAAGCCAGGTTCTCTCTTCACAGAAGTACCAATGCTACATGAGCCTCCTCTGATGTACAACTTCTTGTCACACTGTAGCTGATACAGTGCAGTTCACTAAGGATTCTCTGTGGTTTTAAAAGAGATAGAAATTAACTCAGTTGCAGATACATAAAATTGAGAGGAAAACCTTTTTGAAGGTTTGTCTATCAGTCATCACCTTTTCTGTTTAAGAAAGAGGAATAATGTTAATACCAATAACATTGATAATATTGATACCAGTAGCATTAATGTAAAAAACTGGGGGTCAGCCCCAGCTTTGAACACGTTTGTGCTGTTCCCTACTCTGCCTGCACATAACCTTGAAAATACTTGCAGCACTTTGAGGAAGCATCCTTTTTTAAGATTAAGTTTCAAAGGACCTTCGGCTAACAACACTTTAACCTTTGGGTCTTGCTTGCGGCTATCATACAAATCCTTGGCGTTTCAAAACGCCAACGTTTCAGCACTTTCAAAATAGTCCTCCTGGCCCCACCGAAGCCTCTCGGTACGTTTCGCACCGGTAAAGCGCAGCCTTTAAGGACAAGCCGTTCGAGGAAGCCGCGGCTGCTCGGTGGAGCTGCGCTTCCCGCATCCTCCGGGGCTGTCAGTGACCGGGACGGTGCGGACCGGCTGGACGCGCGTCCCGGCGGAGAGGACACACCGCACCGCCGGGACGTGGCTGGGGCTGGGCGGGGGGCGCTGCCCGGCATGCAACGCACGGCTCACCTGCCGTCGAGACGTGGAACAGGATGCGGGGCCGGGCGGCGCGGATGGCCGCCGACAGCCCGCGCTCGCTGCCCGGGAGGACGCCGCGGCGCTCGGGCATCAGCCGCACCCGCAGCCGCCCGTCGCCGGCGCGGAGCCACCAGGCGAAGAGCTCGGTGAGGTTGAACTCCAGGTGCGCCCCGCCGGAGCCCGGCGGCGGCTCTCCGGAGCAGCCGTCCCGCACGCTGCCCTCGCCCACCTCCAGCACCAGCTGCTTGGCGCGCCGCAGCCGCCTCCCGCCCGCCGCGGAGGG